AGTCTGACTAATGTAGTGTACACTTAATTACACTGGCCACCTTTTGATTTATAGCCGGCCATGTACACACATGATAGTCAAAGTCAGACCAGAAAAAAAAAAGGAATTTGTTGAGATTTTATTTGTGTAAATTAATTGATTTACTAGGACTTTGTAGCTGACCGTATACTACCGGAAAAATTCCAGTATTTTAGAGCCAAAATTTATTGGGAATATTCAGTGTTTATCTTGGCAGATTAACCCTTTTCCTTTCTTTGCTTGGGAATATTCAGTGTTTATCTTGGCACTTTCTTTGGTAAATGCAGAGGATATTGGATAATTATAAAAGCCACTTATTTTACATTAAAGTTACATTGTTGTTCTAATTACTGCAAAGCACTTTGGAAATTTTCCTCTCACAATATCAGCCATGATATCAATTATCAAACTAAACATTTCGTTTTTTTTTATTATTCTTAAAAAGTTAATAAAAGGTGATAGTGAACACCAGAATCATGTTTTTATAATTCAATTAAAAAAAATTGTCAGGTATCTGCCAAAGCTCCTACTGTGCATATATGGAAGTAGTTGTATGGACAATATCTATACATGCATACATATGTTTTCAATTTCACCATTGTATGGACAGAGACTGAGTGCAGAGTGTGAAAAATGAATGATCTATCACGTTGGCCTGTCATTATCAAGCATTTCGCAGCATTCATTAGGAGAGGGGCCAGTCTGGTGCCCCACCTTTAATTTCATGCTGCTCAAGCAAGAGAAAGGACACAGGACAAAGGACAGAAGATTGATGCTGGGGCCAGCCTGCTGCACTTCCTGCAGTGCAGAAAGGGGGCGCTGATTCCAGCCAATTCTGTAGTCTGTAAGAGGCCAGCCAGCCTAATGAAATCTGATCATGTTGCTGCAGATCAGGCCCAATTAAAGTAGCCCCACACCATGTCACAGGGACAGTAGATCAAGTCAGCAATTAACCTTCCTTCTGGCCTCTATCAATCCTTAAATTAAAGCAGGCTGGCCAGCAGCACACAATCTCTGCAGATATTAAATTTACATTCTATTAAGTTTAATTAGGAGGGACTTTAAATATACTAGGAGTCCAGGCACGAAGCCCTGAGACTGTCATCGACACGGATGATTTACAGCCACTGGCCACCTCAAGGGAAACACACTCTCTTACACACCGATAGGCAGTTTACATCACCTTCTAACACAAGCATGGACCCAAGAACAACTGTGTTTGCTGTTGTACAATCGGGTCAGCAAGAGTTAGTCGACCTTGTTCCAGCTCAAGGTTGAACATGGTCTCCATCGTTGACAAGGCGATAAATCGTTTGTTTTCGTCTAATATTTACAGCCCCTGAGATTACAAGTGATTATTTTAGTAGTTGTAACAGCCCAACTGCTCTACTGTAGTACATGCTAAACTAAATGTTACTGACTATATATCCAAACTTCAGGCCGATGACAACATATGAAACATATAAATATTATAAATAATAAATCATTTTCATTTATGGTTTTTAATTTTCAAAATGTAACTGCAAAGTTTGTGCTCAATATTGTGTTTTATATACTAAACCTTTAATAGTTGCCTTGCTGCAATGCTTACTGTAAAAGAACTTACATGCCAACAGGTGCCTGTAAATTCCCCTCTACAATTCCTTGTTGACCAATGGGAAGTCAGGGAAAAACGGAACATTTTTCTTGGAAAACTAATTCAAAGTGATGTAACATGTAAAAGCCAATCACTCAAAATCTATCACAATTCTGTGTTCTTGAGACCCAGACCAATAACACTACTAAATTATGTTGATTATTAAATTATTTCTTCCATTCTTCAAAGCAGGGGAAAATCATGACAGACCTAGAAGAATTCTTCAAGCCTCCCTGGTCATTTCAGTTCTACAGGTCTCCAGAACAGGGCAACAAAGACCTGGTCATTATTAGGATTAATCCTCCTTTGAGCACTTGTGATCAAGCTACATTCAAGCCCACAATAAAAGAAACAGGCCCACAGCAAATCAGCAAGTGGACTGTGAAGTATCTGATTTAGCAGACAAAATGCTTCCTTTGAGGGTTTCCTGTTTTATCAGCAATGATGCAAAGCATGATCAAGCCAAGGCATGATCAGACCCATGGGAGAGGAAAGACAAGGTTGTCGGGGACTGGACCACCTCCAGGCTGCTCAGCCCTAGCATTAGTCTCCACGTGGCTGTGTCCTTTGTCTGACAGTCAAAGGCCCGCTGAATGGGGGTCAATTGAAACCAATTCCCTCTGTCGGACACAATTAATGGGGTTGCCCGGGCTGGTTAGAAGGGGGTGGCTGCAGCCCTTTGGTTACTGATCCTGCCGCACAAGCATGCCAGGAATGTGGCACCTGGAATTTGCCCGGTGACAATAACAAATTTACCTCCTTCCAAACCCATAGCTCTTTTTTGTACTTATATATGCATAGAATATATTCTTAGAGCTTCGTATCCCATCTACTCATTTACAGGGGAGGGTGTAGGAAGGGAGGAGCTAAGGCCGTCCACAGTCGAGTTGTCTACAATGAACCAAAGACAGAGTAGAAGAGAAGTGGTGTAGTGTGCAGCTGTGGACAATTGCACCGGAGTACTTTCTGTTCCAATGACTCTCAAAGTGGGGCCTGATGGGGGATGGTTGTCCTTTGATTTTCTCCAAATCAAAAAGACCAGTAGGTTATTTTTGTGGACATTATGTTCGCTTAACACCAGGAAAGTGTCCATTCATCTGAAGAGCTCTGAACTCTGTCCTATTGATTGAACTTGAAGAGAGAATCATGAGGAAAGCAAAAAAAAAAAAAAAAGAGACTCAGACGGTGAGAATTAGAGCCAGCCTCTCTCTGTCTGAATCAATCTTCAAATAAGTATGGCCGATCGATCCACCACCAGCCCATCTACAGTTAAGCACTTCAGTGGATGTGCACTAATTGTCCTGTTGACATTAATTGTCATTAAAGGGCTTAAAACGGCCACCCTTCTGTGAGTTACATCCTGCACCAAGGTTGCAACCCATTTGTTTATTGGTGAAGGCACGGCTCTCTGTGCTGCACACGCGGGTCAGCGTTAAATCAGACAGGTTGTCCACTGCAATGGACGCGTTTATATGGAGTAGTGCTGGCCCTTTAATGGCAAGTTTCTCAGAGATGACATTAGTCTTTTCTTGTCATTAAACCAGATGGAAATGGTGAAGGCCACTGTGAGGTTTATGTCATAGCACAGAGCTCTAACTTTCTGAGTGAAAGTCTTGTAAACCCCCCCCCCGCCACCACCACCACCAAAGGCTGATTCATTTGGCCTAACAAATTGGTGTGTGTGTGTGTGTGGCCAAGGTGCATTAGAAAAATATGTCAAGATGTGAGGGGTGACGGATGGAGTTTTGTCAAGAAGCAAGCTGGAACATCACAGAGAACACAGGGACACAGGGTCTAGTCCATGAAAGCAGAGAGGACACTGGACTTTTGATATATTATCTGGAGTCATGTTGCATAAAATGAATATTTTTAATATAATTCATAAATGTATTCGTAATTTAATAAAACAAAGTCACTAACCAAGTGTACTATTTTTACTACATAATCGCTATCTCATTCACCCTACGCAAATACTGCTAAATATGTGAGAAGCAATATTACAAATATTTTAAAAATATATAATTTTGAAATGTTTTTAAAAATAGCAGTTTTTTTTGGCAAACACTCATTTACTGGATATAAGGTAACATGTACCACAGCAATACCTTTATGATGGAGCCACATCAATGGTCATACAGTTTGGCTGGTCTAACATTATAGTCACACAATACCTTATTTTCTAACAATGCTAAATTTTTGGGAAATGATTTTACCTTGTCTGAGATAAACATACAGTGCACTGGTGAACAACTCAAGACAGATGTGTAAGATACAGTAGTGTTTATCTGTGACTTCTGACCTACCATGTCGCAGGGTCACGTCTCACAGTCAGAGCTACATTCTGAATAGCCTCACAGTTTGCACATCTGCGAGTTAAAGAGCGAGTGGTTGGATTTATAATCTCCACAGCAACTCCGTTCACATGATCAGTGGCTTAATGTGACTCAATTACTGCACCAAAATTTAATGTACTGCACAAACTTTGAGGCAATCAGTAAATGTTCCCTATTGACGGCTGAGTGAAAACATGTGATCCTCATTCCACTTAAACGGGAGCTCTGGAAAGGATTTGGTTCATTACACCTCTAGTGGCGGGACGACTAAACTACAAAGGTGCCACACAGAGAGAAGTCCTTCCTTAGTCATTTAAGCAAAACCATGCTATTCAGTCGGTTCTTCCTCCTCTTCCTTTCTCCCATGAATGAGACGCTAAGTGAAATAAACAATGCCCACACCTTGAACAGAACCACCGGTTTGATGACCATTGTGCAGAGTAGGAGGGAGAGGATTGGCCAACAAGTGGCTCTCCCACTCTCTTATCACAGAAGCCCACCGTCGGTGGTGGGCCTTTATTACTTGTTGTGCCACTAACCCCCCATCACATCGACGAGGAAGCTGAATGACTGCACTACCTTGGCTTTCACTGGCTACATTTGCACCAGGAGGAGGAGGAGGAGGAGGTGGAGGAAGAAAGGTGGGAGGGAGGGTGTGAGCAGGAGAGGAAGGGAGAGTGAAAGAGCAGTGAATGGCACCATAACATAACAATGCACTCGGAGACTCAGTTGGCAAACACAGCTGGGCCAGCCACAGTGAGGCGTTTAATGAGTCATAACTCTAAAGAGACAGGGGGCTACTAAAACCACTTTTACTATATTGCACTGCCTTTCTAATACACACTAACATAAGCACACATGCACTTTATATTACTCTGACTTCTAAAGTACCCAACTGCACATGTATATAAAATATCAGCATCCAGTTGTGTATACATTTTCGGACATTGCACTCATAATGGCTACAATCAGCCCCCGATCGCCCATTCATAAAAACCCATCAATGCACTCACCTCAATAACCTGCTTAGAGTCCAACCTGAAGTTAAAGTCCCCGAAGACAAAAGACGGCACCTTTTCATAGCGCTGGTCTGTGATCCTGTAAAACATTACAAGCACATGTCAGTCACAACTATCACCACAGTCATAACAAGTCCACAGCTGTGACAGTCGGACTGCACTACGGTAATACAGTAGCACTATTATCATGGAAAAGTCACACCGCCATGACAACATCAGCAATTTAAATTATAATGATCTCCCTGATGACCTGGAGTTGTTTTCAATGAGGGTCACAGCACCACCTAGTGGCCTGGACACTTAGATCAGGAACTTGCCACCTTAACAAAGTTCAGTTTGTTTTTGGTAACCATATTGATATAAACCTGTAGGCCAGACTGTAATTTGTTGATTTCAAAAGGCAGAGAATAAATAGTAAGCTTGACATTAAATATAAAATATCATTATAATTAGTTGACCACTTAAATTACCTCATTAAATTAAAATAAAATTTGTTGTTTTATACAAACAAATGTTTATACTACAGAGAGAGAAAAAGTAAGCTCTGACAATTTAAAAAACATTTACACATGATATTCTAATAATTTTAAAATTAGTCATCATCAAATTATTTAGTAAATCCATAATGTACACCATGTATTATATTATGTATACATATACATATATATATATTATAATAATATATATTTGTTTAGTATATTTTAAAGAAATAAAAATGCTGGTGGAATTAAATATTTGCTTTGCTTAAACATAATGCAGCAAGAACAAAGTGAAGAGGCAGAGGACCCTAATGACCCCAAACCTTTGACCTTTTAAATCAGTGATTGAGTTCATGGAGGAAAATAAACAACTAGAATTTGGGGTCTGTTTCCTCTGAGGCCTCTCCAGGACTGAAGCCACGGTGGACGCTATCAATAATCGTTTGATGCTTTTTATTGGCCTTTAAATAAGGCACAATTTACGTATCTTGTCGTGCAAATGTTTTAAATACGGCTAATACATTGCTGTTACAGTCTTGACAGTGTCAGAGGATTCATGGTGTATTGATCATCTTCAGTCGTGAACTTTTTCTAAATCTCCAGAACCCCGCCGCGACACCGGCATCTGAGTGCTTGAGAAAATACACACATCTAAGTGACATATAATTAACTCCTTTGCCTCATCACTTTCTAAAAAGTAGCTCTTCTACAGAGCACAGATTGGAAATTAAGGTGGACGTAGCACAGCCTCTTAATTAATGATTCAGGATGCTTGGCTCGCTTTCTCCACTAATCGTGCAGATAAATCTCGCCGTAGACTTCCCAGGCCCTGATAACAATATATTTATGAGGTTGTAAAGAGAGAAGAAGCTTCTTCTTAGCGGTGGGTCTCAGCCGGGGCTGGCTGTCGTAAAGCATGGACACAGGCAGAGCAGGGACGGCACAGAGGGGAAGGTGATTGCAGCAAGAAGCAGGGAACACAGACAGCTATTATATTAAATGGAGAGTATTATATTAAACACAAACCGGATCATCTTTCTAGTCCGAGGGGTCAACACGAGGACTGACTTATTTTTTGCCGATTAACTAATTAAATTTATTGATTTATTGTCCGAGCTCATCCCGGGTTTGAGGGCAACCGTGTCAAATGATTGTGTGAATCATGAGATTCTCATGGTAACAGGTTTACGAAGCAGAGCCAAACAGAAGTGATGAGGTAGCACAGCGTCTGTACGCTTCCCCCCACTCTTTCTACACAGACACTGTTT